TTGGGGTGGGTCTGAGGTGATATGATATGTGATTATTGATTATTTCCAGGCTCGCACCAACGAAATTCCTGTGTAGCGTTGGGGTGGGTCTGAGGTGATATGATATGTGATTATTGATTATTTCCAGGCTCGCACAAGCGATATTCTTGTGTAGCGCTGGCGTGGGTCTGAGGGGGATAGTGAAAAGTTGTACGTAAATGATTTGGTGAACAATCGATTATCCGAGAATATGAACCTTGACTCTAGTGAGATGTGAACCAGTGAGTTGTGATAGGATGACTAGTTATGTTCTTTTCATACATAGATCAGGATTAATATTTAATTATCTATAATTTGAGACATATTGTATATACATGAGGGTTTCCTTGTTTGGATTATTTCGCTCGACGTACTACGTCTCTCGTTGTAGATTTTTAAATATTAATTCTATCTATTGTATGATCTTGTTGCTTGGATGGTTTCTGATCGCTACCTGCATGATCTTGTTACTTGGTTGATTTTTGGATTCGTATGATTATTAGTATTCCAGTTGCACGCCTCTATTGTTATTACTATCATCACATGTTCTATTTTTATTTCTGTTATCGTATCGTTTCCGTTTTGGTTTTCGTTGTTCTATTTTCCTTGTGGGGTCGGGTCTTGCCGTGCGCCATGCACCTGACGTACACCTGTTTTCTCTGGTGTACGTCAGATTTAGAGGAAGAACAGGTCTAGCTTGGAGATCTCCAGGAGCCAGATGATTCTCAGTAGGAGTACCTTGCAGACGTAGCAGAAGAAGAAGTCGGAGCTTAGTCATTCCTTTCAGTTTCTTTGTAGCATTTCTTTTTCGTCGGATCATTGTATTTTACATTTCTTTAGTATTCATTGTTCAGATTTGTATAAGGGCATGTTTGACCCGTATTTTATGTCTCGGATGTTATCCCGTTTGTGATATGATATTTCCTTGTTCTGAGTTGTCTTTATATTCTTGCTATTGTGATCGGGGACCTGTGACTTCGTATTGTTTTATTTCCAGACGCTTAGCGTATTAGATTGAGAAGACGGGGTCTAGCACTTATCTCTTCTCAGTCTAATACGTCGCGGGCTTGCTCGCGTCCCGATTCCCCGGTATTTTGGGAAGCGGGGCGTGACAGGAATTATGTCTTTTTTATGGTAAAGACAGACTGGAAAATGGAAGAGGAAGAATTTTATATTCTATCTCCCGGTAC